AGTCAGTTGTAATTTAACATAGTATCGTCATCAGGAACAAAGTGATAATCAGGTGGGAAACACACCTGCCTTGCACATGGTCGACCTGGATTCAATCCCTGCCATCCCAATACGTGTGGTCCCTTGAACCCTTGAGGATTGTTTTCATACATGGCAAGCACCCTAACACAATGTACTATCAATCCAGCCCAGGAAGTGTGTGTGTATGTGTGTGTTATGAATGTGTGTTTGTTTATGTGTATAGAGACAGAGGATTTGGGGTAACCCCAATGATAATAACCTGATAACCCTCAGGTAATCCTGTCTCTGTGCTCAGGAGTGACTTCTGGTGTTGCTCATGTGAACATATGTTGTGCTGGAGATAGAACCAGGGTCAGTCACATGGAATATTAATATATTAATCCCTACATTATTTCTCAGTGCTGGAGCAGAAATCACTTAATCACGTAACTTCCTGTTAGTCGTCGATTTGCTCGAGCGAGTGCCAGTAACGTCTCCAATTTGTCCCTGTCGCGTGCTAGTGTAGCCCAATGGCGTCAGTTCGCTCTAGGAACATGAAGAGCCTCAAACGATCTTTCATGATCTTGATGAAAAAATCTGACCATCTGATAGGTGGGCAGCCACATGGTCTTTTGACATCCCGTGGAATCCAGTCTGTAACAGCTCTAGTCCAGCAGTCATCTTTAAATCTCATTACGTGACCAGTCCATCTGATTTTTGACACTTTGGCAAACGAGACAGCATCCCTGATTCTTGATTGTCGACGGATGTCGGAACTCCGGATTCTTTCTCTCATTTGGGTGAAATGTGATATTCCAACCATAGCTCTTTCAATTCTTGCGGAGATCTGAGTAGCGTTCTCATCCTGTTTGCATAGGGCCGAGGTGTCTGAGGCATATGTTAATGCAGGAAGAACAATGAAATCAGATATATGCCTGGAGCCAGAGGTTCTTAGTCCTACTAGCTATTTCTTCGACGCTCTTGAAGGCGTTCCAAGCCGCTCTCGTCCTGCTGCGCAGCTCAGGTGCCAGGTCATTTGTCATGCTGTCTTCTCAACCTAGATACACATAGCTGTTGCATTCAGAGATGGTCGTTCCGTTGAGAGAGAATGGGACGTCAGGAACGAGGCTGTTTCTCATAAACATTGTCTTCGTAAGATTCAGCTGTAGTCCTACCTTTCCACACTCACAGTCAAAGTCTGCCAGCATTTGTGCCGCTTGACTGATGTTTGGTGTTATTAAAACAATGTCATCAGTAAAGCGGAGGTGGTGTAGTTGCCGACCATCTATCTTCACTCCCATTCCTTCCCATTCCAGTCGTCGCTTGATGTTCTCAAGGGTGGCACCGAAGAGAAGAGTTTCGGTGAAATGGTCTCACCCTGCCGAACCCCTCTCTTGATATGGATGATTACTTCTTTGTAGAATGGTGAGATCCTGGTAGTGAATCCGCAATACAGCTCACGGAGGATCTTGATGTATTGGGCTTGAATGCCCTGATTGGCTAGGGCTTCAATGACTGCTTCTATCTCAACAGAATCAAAGGCCTTCTTTAAATCAATGAACGTTAGAGAGAGCGGCATCCTAAACTCCTGAGAAACCTCAATGATCTTGGTTACTGTGTGGATATGTTCGATGGTGCTGAATCCTTTTCAGAACCCAGCTTGCTCGCATGGTTGTCCTTCATCTAGTGTTCTGCCAATCCTATTTAGGATGACTCGAGTGAACAACTTGTAGATGACAAACAATAGGCAGATCAGGTGATAGTTGCCAATGTCATGGATGTCTCCCTTCTTGAACAGTAGTACGGTCCTGCTGGTTTTCCATTGGGACGGAACCTTGTATTCAGACAGCTAGCATGTGAAGAGCTGAGCCAGTGTATTGATAAGTTCTGACGGCAGGTTCTCCAGGTGTTCAGGTCTGACCTTGTCTGGGCCATTTGCTGTTTGTTTCTTTACTGACGAAATGGCCTGTCAGATTTCAGAAGGGAGAACTTTGAGAATGACATATCCATCCTGTGGAAATTGGTATGTCGGCAAGTGGACATGGCTATCGAAGACATTGTAGTAGATCACTTAATCACTTAATCACTTAACTTCCCGTCAGTCGTCGATTTGCTCGAGCGGGCACCAGTAACGTCTCCATTTGTCCCTGTCGCGTGCTAGTCTAGCCCAATGGCATCTGTTCGCTCCAGGAACATGAAGGGCCTCAAACCGATCATTCATGATCTTGACGAAGAAGTCTGACCATCTGGTAGGTGGGCGGCCAAGTGGTCTTTTGACATCCCGTGGAATCCAGTCGGTAACAGCTCTAGTCCAGCGGTCGTCTTTAAATCTCATTACGTGACCAGCCCATCTGATTTTCGACACCTTGGCAAATGAGACAGCGTTCCTGATTCTTGATCGTTGACGGATGTCAGAACTCCGGATTCTTTCTCACATTTGAGTGAAACGTGATATTCCAAGCATAGCTCTTTCTATTCTTCTTTGGGAGACCTGAATAGCGTTCTCATTGTTGTAGAAATCATGGATAATCTTCTCCATTGCCGTTCTGGAGGATGTGATAGATCCATCAAGATGTCGGAGGGCAGTCATCTTAGTCATGTAGTTGGCGAAGGACAGGCGGGCATTACGAATACTTTTCCCGGCTTCTGCTGCATCTACCAGCACTTCTGTTCTTCTCTTTTTAGGTCTTCCTTGATCGCGTCTCTGCACTGTTTTGTGAGCTCAGACGTTAGTTTGCAGTTGCCTGAGGCATGCGCCAAACGACGCTGGCGAATTAGCTCAAGAGTTTTTGAAGACAGGCATTTTTCTCTCTCTTAGCATTCCTCGCACAATCATGGAGGTGCTGAACTAGTCGATTGTATTCCTCTTCAGTGTTGTCAACAATAGCATCTTCCCATGTTGCCGCAATAGTGCCAAAGAGCTCCCAGTTGGTGGTTGTTCTGGGAGTTCTCTTTTTAAACTTTGCAGCCCTTTCTCCCCGCTCTGTGAAGTAGAATTTTGCGCAAAGGAGATGGTGGTCCGTTCCTGTTCGATATTTTGGGACAACAGCGACATCGCTCAGGCAAAACACTACCTCTACTACCTCCACTACCCAGCCGCCGCCACACTCCAGGATACTTTACCCATCTTCCGGAATTGCCGTACCATATTTGATAGGGTTCAAATATGGTAACACCTACAAGGGAGATTAGAGGTCGCCCCAAAAGCCTCTATCCCTCTCGGAAAAACTGGCAAACTACCGAGACTATTCTGCCCGCACGGCAGAACCTGGCAAGTTATCTGTTGTGTATTTGATATGCCAAAACCAGTAATTACAATAGGTCTCATTCACCTGACCCTGAAGTCTTCACCAACATGGCAGCTCTGAGAAGGATGAGAAAGGAGAGGCCGATAAAATCTCAAGGTCGAACTAGGCTGCCACAACGAAGGAAGACAAAAATGATCATCTGTACTTTCAATGCACGTACGCTAGTATCAGATGCATCCATCGAGGACCTGATGGTACAAGCGTGAAAGATCAAGTACGACATCATTGTTCTGACTGAGACAAGAAGGCACAAATCTCACCATGCCGTTTTCAACACTGGAGAAGAATTGTTCCTCGGAACATGCGATAAAGGAGGTGTTGGAGGTGTCGGTGTCCTTGTCAACACAAACTTGGCCATGAGCATTGATTCATTCGAATGCCTAACAACTGGAATCGGACATTTACATTTGAATAGATGTGGCTCACTGCAGGCAGTTTCTATCTTCGTTGTCTACGCACCAACATCTCATTATGATGAAAGAGAAATCGAGAAGTTCTACATGGAGCTGGAGAAGTTCTATAAAGAAGACCGCACCTTCTACAAGATCATTGAGGGCGATTTTAATGCCAAGATAGGACCGAGAAGATCAGCAGAAGAACTTCACATCGGGACCCATGGTCTAGAATGGAACGAACAGGGTGAGAGACTGTCTGAGTTCATCATGTCGACCAAGACCATCCATGGTAACTCACAGTGCCAGAAGGCAGAATCTAAACGTTGGACATGGGAGTCTCCAAGTGGACAATTCCACAATGAAATAGATCACATCATATTCAATCAACGGAGCAGAAATATATTTTAGAAATGAAAAAAAGATGAGCCAGTAGGAGTCAGTGCAAAGACAGAATCAGGAAGTTTGCTGGGGAAGGATCATCCAAGTGGCCAGGGACTGATTTCATACTACAGCTGCAGAGATGAGCAGAGGGAGACAGATTCTCAACCAGTAGCCAATTGACTATCTGTAGTTTTTTAAATAGAAAATATTTGCAGATCCCTAATTCGTGAAAGGAACAAAGAAAGCAAGACTGAGAAGAAAGAGAGAAAGAAATAAGGATTAAGAGAAGAAAGAAAGGAAAGAACGAAAGAACGAAAGAACGAAAGAAAGAAAGAAAGAAAGGGAAGGAAGGAAGGAAGGAAGGAAGGAAGGAGAAAGAATGGAAGGAAGGAGAAAGAATGGAAGGAAGGAGAAAGAAAGGCATATGTAAGGAAGGAAAGAGGGATGGAGGGAAGGATGGAAAGTAAAAAAGGAGGAAAGAAAGAAAGAAAGAAAGAAAGGAAGGAAGAAAGAAAGGAAGGAAGAAAGTAATCAAGGAAGGATGGAAGGAAGGAAGGAAGGAAGGAAGAAAGGAAGGAAGGAAGGAAGAAAGGAAGGAAGGAAGGAAGGAAGGAGATGTTTTAGGCTGCTGGGGCTGGCTTCATTGGACCTCATCCACCACCCCCTCCCCCGGGATGACCTGAATAAAACAGGCTGGCATGGGATCTAAGGGCATGTCTGTGGTGTATTGTTCTGTGCTCTCTTCTGAGAGATTCATTGTTGAGTTTCCGGATCAAGGCCATTGATGAGATTATATGGCTCCAGAGGTGGTTTGTGTGTGTGACTGCTAAGGTGCTGGAAACCGGGGAGTTGGGGAGAGGTCAACCAGTTTCTGATTTCATTGAGCCTGGAGTTTTCAATAAGAAGTGCCACATACCTGAGATTTTCTGCAGATTCACGCATAGATGAGGCTTCTCCATACATGAGGATAGCAGCCATGATTATGCTTTTCAAGTTATGGAGGTTTTTGGCTGCTGGAGCTAGCTCTATTGGGGCGTGAAGGGATGGGACTCCAAATAGATTTTGACTCACATTTTCTTTATTTTCTTCTCTTTTTTGAGAGTTCTCTTAATTGAATCTTTATATTTTTTAAATTTTATTTTATGAATCACCGTGAGAAAGTTACAAGCTTTCATGTTTGAGTTACAAACATATAATGTTCAAAGACCCATCTCTCCACCAGTGCACATTCTGTAGGATAACACTGTTCTGTCCTTTCTGCAAAGCCTCAGGAATAGTTGATAGTTGAAAATTTCTTGATATTTTATTGAACTGAGGAAAAGAGAAAAACACCTTAGGAGGTATTTTGCCCTTGAGCTGTCAGGAGGGCTTTAGAATTACCTTTTAGGTGGGCCCTCAGGAAGGGCTTTCTTCTGTTGATTTGGCTACCTGTCTGGATGGAGTGTCACCCGAGATTGCCAGGGAGTTGTAGAGGCAAGGGAACTGGAGAGAGAGAGAGAGAGAGCAGGGCTGCAAGATGGACCATGGAGAGACTAGCAAGGAAAATATGTGCTTGAGAGAACCTAGGCCCTCCATAACATAAATTTCTTCTATGGGATAAACTTCCTGATAATAAAGTGCGAAAGATCAACTGGCCGGGCCCTGGTCTCTTCCTTTGTCTGCTCTTGGCCAACAGCCTTCCCGATCCAGGCCACACATAGTAGTTCTAGGGCTCCGTACGGGGGCTCTGAGATAGAGCCATCCAGAGAGCCCGCAAACACAAAACCCTCAGCGTGTCTCCCCAGAAACTCACCCCTTTCTGGCCCTTCCCTTGCCTTCTTGGCAGAAAATTTCCCACATACTATCTCTTTGATCTTATCTATTGGATGCTAGACCATTTCTAACAAAATACTATCAACTTAATTTCTCTTACTAAGCTTAAAACCATGGCTTAAATACTGTGGGTACTTCATAAGGTCTTACTATTTGCGGGGGCACCCCCAAATTCTAAGAGCGTACTCCTGGCTCGACACTCAGTAATTATGCTTGTCAGTGCTTGTAGAAAAGTATGGGATGCCTTAGATTGAACCTGGATAGGTCCCTGAGCAAGCCAAATACCTATCTGCTTTACTATGGCTCTGGCTGAAGTATTACTATATTTAAATACAGTAAATTTATTTACTCAGCCTGGCCAAGCTGAGTTCGATTCATCTGCCCCTCTCAGAGAGGCAGGCAAGCTACCGAGAGTATCTTGCCCGCACAACAAAGCAAGGAAAGCTATTGTGTCGTATTCAATATGCCAAACACAGTAACAACAAGTTTCACAAGGGAGATGTTACTGGGCCTGTTTGAGCAAATTTGAGGACAGTGCTACAGTGCTATGTGCAAAATGAAATTCCTAGAGGTTTATAGAATGAACTGTGAGAACTGTGAATAGCAGAAAATACCACTATTCGATACTCAATATTAAAAGTCCATACTGATCCAACCTTGATCTTAAGTGGTCTTGCTTTGTACACTTTCATTTTTTGACAACCAACTTCTTTCTCATGATCACAGTCCTAAACCTCTGGCTTAGTGCAGGACTCATATGATTCTTCTCTCCACATGGCACCTTTGGGGCTTTCAGCATTCATTTTTCAGAATGAGCCTTGTGGACCATGTGGAATTCTATTTCTGAACACGTGATAATTGAATACAGAAACATCTGAGATATTCTTGATTCTTTTTCCTCTTCATAGTTTTCCACACTCAGATTTGTTGCTTTGAAATCTTAAAAAGATTTTTTAATTTAATTTTTATACAGTTGTTCACAATATTTGAGTGCATTTAATATTCAAACACCAATACACTACCATTACACCTTCTCACCACCATATTTCAAATGTTTCTAACCCAAACCTGAAACCCTGCCCCAAAGCAGAGCCAAAATAATTAATTTTGTACTGCTTGTTATAGATAATTTGCTAAGTTGATCCAAAAATTGTTTCTTAGAGGAAAGTACGTCAAGACGGTTATATTACACCCAGGACTCATTAACACTTCTATAAGAGATTAGTAACATGTTGTCAAGGTTTAGCCTTGGGTGCATATTCATCTATCTGTCTGTCTGTCTGTCTCTCTGTCTGTCCATCTATCTATGTTTTTGTAAAAATATATTTCCCTTATGATTGGTTTCCTTCTATTCTACTTTATTTTATTATTATTTTATGTTTATTTTATTTTTCTATTTTATTATTTTTATTATTAATGTTTTATTATTTTGTTATTTTTTATTTTTTAATGAATCATCATGAGGTTCAGTTACAGATTTGCAAAATTTTATAATTATGGTTCCATCATAAAATTATCGAGTACCCATCTCTCCACCAGTGCCCATTCTCCACCAGCAATGTTCCCAGTATCCCTCCCACCATCCCCACAAAATCTCTCCCACCTGCCTCTGTGGCAAACACAATCCCTTTTACTCTCACTCCTTTGGGGTTTTATGGTTTGCAATGCATGTAGTAAATGGACATCATATTTGGTCTATATTCTAATTTCAACAGGCATCTACCATCCTGAGTGAGCCCTCCAAGAATCATGTAAATAGTGGTCCCTTCTCTATTCCATTTGCCTTTTCCCCTAATATGTGAGATCTGCTTCCAAGCCTTGGAGCGATCCACTTGAACTTTATCTCTATTATATTTGGGTGTGAGTCTCTCTCATTCTGTTACTTTATATTCAACAAATGAGTGCAGTCTTTCTATGTCTGTCCCTCTCTGACTGATTTCACCTTGCATGACACTGGAATAAAGTTCCACTTCTGATGCATTCCTAAAATTTTCCGGTGAACGCCTCTGTACTGAGTGCCTCTGGTGGGGGAGCATGGTGGAGGGTGGTATATGGCCAATGATGAGGAGTCTTGCAGTTCCCTGAGCTGGATTTCTGGGTACACTGCCCTGGAGTACATGCCTACCAACCACTTGCCTTCTATTTTAAGCCTCAACAAATGTGTTGTTTTACATTTTATCTATCAGTATTGTAAAGTATGAGAGATTGGAAGAGATTCATTCATGGGTGAAGCTTGTCTGAACGTGTGGATAGTGGCTGTGAGAATAGGGGTGGTTGAGTTATGGACAATATGGCTAAAAAGAGGATAGGAAATTTTCAATATCTGATCTATTTATTTTTTTATGTCAGTTCGGGGGCCACACCTGGATATGCTCAGGGATTGCTCCTGGCTCTGCACTCAGGAATAATTCCTGGAGAAGTCACTATAATAAAAAGTCAAAATAGTTTGAAAATTAATGCAGAACAGGTAACCACACTGGTCATTTTAATTGAAGTCCCAGGTTCAAGTTATTGCTACATGCCCAATAGCTGTACACATTCCATTATCAAGTACTGTGTTTATTTAAGAGTGAAATAGAAAACTATTTTTAAGTTTTATATGTACTTGTTTCAAATATTTGTTGCTGGAGCACTGTATTGTTTTGCAGTCTATTGTGTTATTGATGTGCTGTTTTGTTTAGGTCATCTGTGACTGCTGGATCCAATCACCTGTCAGAAGAAAAAATCCTTGCTCCTGGAAGCCAGAAATTTCATATACAGATCACTGAGAAAAAGATGTCACCCCTGATATATGCCTTCTTTAGAAGGTCTTTAGCCTGTATTTTCTGTTAACTTCTGAGAACTTCCACGAGGCTTGTCTGGTAGTTAATACACTCATATCCTGACTCACATGACCTTCTTCTCTATCTTCATCATCTACTTGCTCCATTGTGTCAGAACAATTGTTATTCCATTGACTCACCTTAAAATACAACAGATCACTCCATTGCCAGCCATAGCATCTATTCAATCAAGGTTTACTAAACAAAGGAGTATTTGCAGGGTTGATTGTTTCTTTGAATGGCCATTATTCTACACCATGATTTTGTAAGCATATAAAAATACATGAACGGGACTGGATCTTTTGTGTGTGTGAGAATGCTTTCATTTTTTGTGTATTATAGCCAAACCTGATGGTACTCAGAGCTTCCTCTTGGTTCTGTGCTCAGAAGTCACTCCTGGCAGGGTTCAGGGGACATATGGTGTGCCAGGGAGCCAAGCAGGCCTACTGTGTTGAAGACAAGCACCCTACCCTCTGTACTATGTGTACAACCACTATCAATATTTCTTTTAGCCAATTTATGAGACCTCTAGGGCTCTGTACATTTGGAAAGTGTGGAAACCTCTTCAATATGATAGATCCATACAATAGTATATCAGTCAGAGGAAGTAATGACATACTGTAGCATGGATGAACTTTGAAAGCATCAGGGTTAAAAAAATGTTGCCAAAAAGGGCACATATCTTAGGATCCATATATGTGAAGGGTTTAGAGAAAGAAAATTCATATAGACAAAAGACGAGTGTTGCCAGGAACCAGAGGATAGAGGGAATGGAGAGGTCAATGGTTAGTGAAGAGGCTGCTTTTGGGAATGATGAAACTGTTATGCATAAAATAATGGTCACTCTAACTGTCACTGTCCTTCCATTGTTTATTGATTTGCTCGAGCCAGCCCAGTAACGTCTCGATTGTAACAATTGTTACTGTGTTTAGCATATTGAATACGTCATGAGTAACGCGCTAGGCTTTGCTGTTCGGGGGAGATACTCTCTGTAGCTTGCTGGGCATTCCGCGAGGGGCTGAGGAACAGAATTCGGGTTGCTCACATTGGCTGCTTGCAGGCTAAATGCCCTTCCCGCTGTGCTATAGCTCCAGCCCATGGATAAAATACCGGTAATAGTTGCAAAATTAGCAAAAACAGCAAATGCCAGGGAAATTTGTCTTAAATGACGGATCCCATAAAAAATTACTTATGCAGGTGTGTATTTTAAAAGGGTACAAGTTGTCTCTCCTTTATTCATTGCCTAGAAGCACCTAGGAAAATTGGAAATAACTGTTGGGCTGTGTCAGATTTTTTCTTCTTTTCAAACTCTAAATTATGTAAATGTAATACACCTTACCTTTT